TCATTTATATCAGTGGCAGAGAAAATAAATTCTGTTATAAAAAGCCTAATATGGCATTGATTTATTGGTCAGTTGGAGGAGCAATACTCTCTTGTAGATGCTCTGGTTTCTGGACTTCTGAGGGCAAATGCTCACAATAACTCCCTCATCCCAAAAGGAATGGTGTGCCCAGAACACAAAGTCATGAGAGCTGTTTGAACCATGACGTAGGTTAAATGTTCAATTGCTCAACCTCTAATCTCAGCCTAAAACACTGCATCAAGATTAGCTATTGAAGAATATAGAAATGTGAATGAAAAAGTGAAGATAAACTTACAACTCCAAGAGAGCTACATGCCAGGGCTAGAAACTTAAGCCATTCAATTTCTTCGGAAAAATGACCAACATTCATAACACTCTCAAATAAGTCTGTTGGGAGATTCAGCACCTTCCACATGTGGGCCAGTTCATCTACATGGATTATCAGTCTGCCACTCACCTGGAAATAAATATATAGCAATATGCATCATGAGTAAAGAAATGTCATTTCCTTTCATTTCCATTTTTGCTATTCTTTAAGCCAAAATCTCATTAGCCCAAACATTCCAACCCTTATTAATTAGGGTTGCCATTTGTCCAGTTTTGAACCGGACAGTCCAGTATTTCAGCTTTCTGTTCGGAGGAAAAAAATATAAATGAGAAAATATAAATGTCCTGTATTTTCTAAATAAGATGAAATGTAGATTGTGATGTAATGTCAAGTGTGTCTGGTATTTTTGTTGAAACCATCTGGCAACCCTATTATTAATTATGAAATTTGGAGAGTCACTGATGGTCTTGAACATTTTTTCCCAGTAGTACAGAGCAGAAGAGAAGATATCTAAGCAGGGGACTCAAACTCTCAGCCCATGGGCTAGGGATGTTACATTTCAAGTAACCAGCTAAGTGAGTCTGGGATCCCCACTGTGCCTCTGCCTCACCTGCCCACCCCGGCACTGGCTCCTGCTCCCCTACCCGTTGCTGCCACTGATATAGAGGCAGCAAGGGTGGGGGGGGGAAATGCGCGTAGTTGACTCAACTACCCTATAGGTCTAGGCTTATTGGGTAGTCAACTATTCTACTACTATTCTACTACTTTTACATCCCTACCACAGGCCATCCCTGACTGGAGCATTGCACAATCTGCCCCAGGACTCCTGGTAGATTGGGAGGGGGCTTGTCCATTACTGGCCCCAATCTCCACCTCTTCCCACCATCACCCCACCCTCTCCCCCTATGGCACCCCATCCTTGAGAACATGACCTCATAGATCAGGGGGAGGAGGGACTAGTGTGGTGCAATCAGCCTTCCCCCTCACTCCCTGATGCAACAGGAGCTGTTGGAGATGCAGAACTTACTGGGGTGGCATGAGGGGAGAGGACGGGATGATTGTGGGAAGGGGAGGGACTTGGGCATGAGTAATGAGAAGCTTCCTCCCTGCCCACCAGGAGTCCTGGGCCAGATTGCACAATCCCTCCTGCCAGGGATGGGCTGTGAGCCAGGAGTTTGAGACCCCCTGAAAGAACAGAACAGCGTACTAACAAAATCATTGCACCATGCTTGGCATGAGGTAAAGTCCTTTGGATTAATGGTAAGTACCACCAGGATGCTATGTCAAAATAAAGACTCTGCTGATATTTGACACAGTTGGCACTCTGAGGGTACTGTATTCTAGCTTCAAGCCTTGCCATACTGAACCTACACTAGCAGAGCAGGATGCCTACCTGGGACACTTAACTAGATATGCTCTAGTCTTTTGTCTTTGAAACCATTTGGCCTGACTTTGGGATATATTTATGAGAAGCGCTGATGATGCCAGTGAGCTTTCAGAAGGAATTGGATGCCTGACGCACACATTTTGCAGGCAGAGTTAAGAAAACTCATTGTAGATTTGATCCATATAGACCATAGAAATGAAGACTGAGGACAATCATGATTCCAAGCTGCATATTTCAATATAATTAACAGCTTGAGTTAACGAAAGAAATTATTTCTGCTACATCTGGCAAGTCTTCAATTTTATGAATATATATCATAGAATCATAGAATAATAGGACTGGAAGGGACCTCAAGAGGTCATCGAGTCCAGCCCCCCGCCCTCAAGGCAGGACCAAGCTCCACCTACACCATCCCTGACAGATGTCTATCTAACCTGTTCTTAAATATCTCCAGAGAGGGAGATTCCACCACCTCCCTTGGCAATTTATTCCAATATTTGACCACCCTGACAGTTAGGAATTTTTTCCTAATGTCCAATCTAAACCTCCCCTGCTGCACTTTAAGCCCATTACTCCTTGTCCTGTCCTCAGAAACCAAGAGGAACAAATTTTCTCCTTCCTCCTTGTGACACCCTTTTAGATATTTGAAAACCGCTATCATGTCCCCCCTTAATCTTCTTTTTTCCAAACTAAACAAGCCCAGTTCATGAAGCCTGGCTTCATAGGTCATGTTCTCTAGACCTTTAATCATTCTTGTCGCTCTTCTCTGTACTCTTTCCAATTTCTCCACATCTTTCTTGAAATGTGGCGCCCATATAGCTTCACTATGCAACCCTTCTTGTTACTGAATACTTACTAAAATAATACCATGAAGGACAGTGGCATTACTTGTGTAAGTGTTCATCAAATTGAAAAAGGTTGCCTGATCAAAACCAAAGGGAAAACAATTCAAGGAACATTCTACAGGTTGAACTTCTCTAGTCCAGCATCCTTGGGACTTGACTGGTGCTGAACCAGAGAATTTGCCACACCATGGGAGGTCAATATTGTCTAGCAGCATTACCAACACTTTCACTGCTTACTGGGCTGTTAGAAGACATTTAGGGGTAATTTAGAGCTAAATAACAGCACTCAACACTGATGGCTGTAAACAAACATTTTGGGACTGTGGGAAACTTGTCCACACCGAGGATAAGTGGACATCTGGCTAACTAAAATAATGCTTGACCACAGATGTTGCTGGACTTGAGAGTGACAGACTAATGTAGTTCAACCTGTATTTTATACTGTTGCGTCTAGCCAAGGTCTTACTTCTCAATTCTTCATTGGTAGAAACCTGTTTGGTTTTTTTTTCAAAGACACCGAAGATATTAGTATTCCCCATGCACATTTTACTTGCATTAATTGAATAGAATATTTGCAGACATAACATTGAAAGAAATTACATTTTCTCAGACTGAAAATGTAGTATCTGTAACATTATTAAGGAAGCAAAATAGCACATAGACTGGGCTATCTTTACAATTTATGGAGCCCTACACAAATGAGCCCTCCTGCCCGCTCATGGCTTCCCTCCTACCCTCCCACACAGTTTCTGCCGTGGTTTGGGGCTTCCCTCCCCCTTCTCTCTCTGCATGGTTTCTACTGAGGCTTTCCTGGGCCCAGAGCAGACATTGGGGCTCCTCTCCGCTCCCACTCTGGCAGAAGGGAGCCCTGAGTGCACAGTCAGCTATTGGCCCAGAAGAGCATGCAGGCAGAGAGGGGGAAGGGAGATACCCTGGTGCCAGCAAAAGTATGTAGTCAGCGAGAGGGGTCAGAGAGGAACTAGGCAGCGCATCCTTAGGCATACAAACACATGCAGCTGCATAGAGGTGCCCAGAAATTTAGGGCACCACATTTTTGGGTGCCCTATGCAGACTCATATTTCTCATATCCCTAGGGACAGCCTTCCATGTAAACATTCTATCCCTATATATTTGCCCTAGAAAGTAAATGAGATCTTTCTTACTCGTTGGTGTAAGACCTTTAAAAGTTCTGGAGTGAGTTCTGCCCAGTTTGACAAAGGTACCCTTTCCGATCGCTCTCTTACGGGAGGTATATCACCACGGGACACAGCACTGAAATAACTAGACAGAGAAAGACAGATAAGTGCTTGCTTTCTAAATGCTTTTAACAGAAGCAAATATTAAGTATAATGATTCATATGATTTATGCTTACTAAATAGAAGCAACTGGGTTTCAACTATCTGGTGCAGAGGCTTCTGTTTAAACAGCACTGCTTTTAATCAGGAAAGTACTGTGCTATCAAACAGTTTTCCTTTTCATTCCTGCACATAAGTGGGTTTTTTTAGGGCCTGAATCATCTCCTTTTGTAGTAAGAGGGAGTTTTTCCATTGACTTCCATTGGTTTTAGATTAGGCTCATAGTGCTACTTTCTTTGGACATCAAATTTTTGGTGCTGATTCAGGAAAGCACTAAAGCACATGCTTAATTCCATCCCTATTTAGGAAAGTACTTCAGCATATACTTAAGAACATTTCATGAATAAGAGTGTTTTCCTGAAACAGGGTCTTTAAATGAAAATAATCTTTTAGAGAAACCATACATTTTGTCACAAATTTTAGGACAAGTCTGTAATATTATCAAACAAAAGCAAATGTGTTACAATAAAAAATAACTTTCCTCCAAATAAAATATTAAATGGTCATACAATATAAATCTTTAGCTCTTTAATAATGGACAGCACTATGTTCAAAATGCTTTATTGTTGAGCCAAAGGCATTGAGTGTTCTGGAAGCACAAACCGGCTTTACTTATAATACAGTGGTGCTCACTGGAGGAGGGCCACATAAACTAGAGCAAAACCTACATATTTTAATAAGATTTAAAATCACCTGTACTGATTCTTTTTTTGAAGTGCTGCTTGTTGCATAGTATTTACATAAGTTGTTTCTATGAACAGTATTGTCTGTTTGTGTAAACTAAAATGATGTAAACATAAGGACAAAATGTGAATGAATTAACCATTACAGGTTGAACCTTCCAAATCTAGGATCCTCTGGTCTGGCAACATCTGTGGTCCTACAGGGCCATGAATGTTTCTGGACCAAAGAGCCCAGGAGGCAGGAACAATGCAGGAGCTGGAAGCCCTAGCTGAGCCTGATGGAATCTGGGGAGCCCCCACCCTGGCTGGGTACCCCTGGTGTCAGCGGGACCAGGTAGCATCTGGGAAGCCTCCATCCTGGCCGGGAACCCCTGGCATCAGTGGGGCCAGGTGGTATCTGGGGTGCCTGTGCCCTGGTTGGGAAGCCTCTGCCGGGGAACCCCCAGCTGAAGCAGGGCTGGTGGAGACTAGGGATATTAAAATTCAATTAATTGACTAATTGAATAGTCTATGCAATTCAATTAGTCAATAAGGGCGCTTTGAGCCTGCCCCTGAGATGCATGTGGCATTTCAAAGCGGCAGTTCTTCATGGAGCCCAGGGTCTGGCTCCGGGCTCCATGTAGTGCTGCCACTTTGAAGCACCCCTCCACTTCCCCTCCTTGCTGTCTCTTTTTGATAGAAAGTCAACTAGTCATTCAAATTCCTAGCGAGACTGGTGGCTGGAATCTCCAGTGGCAGCAGGGTGGCCCTAGCAGTGGGGTGGGGTGGCTTGGTGCCCCGTCTGGAGAACCCTTGGCAGCAGCAGGGCTACTGGCGGCCAGGTGGTGCCAGCTGGGAAACGGGAACACTGCATGGCTGGCAGTGGCCAAGCATTCCCTCCTGGGAACTCCAGGAGACCTTGTGGACAGGAAGCAGAGCAGGGAGCTGTGCCAGGCCAGTTTTAGGGTGCCAGTTTCAGGGCAGAGCACCCCAAGGAGAGGAGCCTGTGAGCGGGGCAGCCAGCAGGGGAGCACTGACCTCCCCTGTTCTGGCAAACTCTTTGGTCTGGGACAGCTCAGGTCCTGAGGGTGCCAGATCAGAGAAGTCCAATCTGTAGTATATTGTGTTGAAGAAATTCATGGGCCTTCTCAGTGGGGCCAGGTATGACCTGTGGGCTGTAGGATGGGCATCCCTACTAAAATATATTCCTATCATATAATATTATGAGAGGCGAAAAAGATCAAGAGATCAGGGATATTATTTCCAAAAAATAAAATCTTATGGTTCAGTCTACTTATCAGATGTAATTACCTTTTTTTTTTTTTCTTTTTAAACTTAGGCAAACTGTTAACCTTATCTATTACCCACATATGTCAATATCAGCCAAGGGAGTTGATAGTTCATGATAAGCATGTTCATTAGACAAATTACATAACAAATTGATTTAAACCCCTCTCTCACTCCATGCATTGAATTACCCTGGTTAAAAATTCATTGTATAGTAATTCAGTTCCCACAGCATTTAAACTTGAAAAAGGAAAATAAAATTTAATGCACAGTTTGGGATTATTGCAGTGCTAAACCCTCCTATTTAAAAAAAACAACAAAAACCAAAACCCGGCTCCACCTTGTAATCTATTGGATTTACTAATAATTTATGGTGGAGGCACTTCAAATCAGGCCACCCACTAAGTTAATGGTCATTGGGGAGTTGTCCCACGCTAAAGAAAAGGGAAGATGGATTGCAAAGATATGAGGCCATATCCTGACCTGGTGTAAATCACCATAAGTACATTTATTTAAAATGGAGCTATGCTGATTTATATGAGATTGGCATTTAACTCATTTAAAAAAATGAACTAGCACTTGTGATGAATTTGGATACTCCCATTGCCCCTGGATGGTGAAGTGTTTTGAGTGTTATAGACCAATGTTTCTAAAATGTCTACAATATATTAAACCTCTGAACGTGGCTGGGACTCATTCTTCAGAGGAATTTCAGTTTAATATTCTCAGTTCTGGGGAGCAACTGTACATCTAGGAACATACAATGATCACCAGCATCTGAATCTTTGACTAGATTCAATTAATAGTATGCCATCTGTAGAGACATTTAAAACAACCAGATCTCCAGCCATGGTGTGGAGAAGGTAAGGGTGTGTCTCTTACAAATATTAACTTTGGAGCACAATGCAAGCCAAATCTTGAGCAGAAATGAATGCCTGCAATTCCCATTGACTTCACAGTCTTGCATGTGCTCAGTAGATCTCATAAGCTTTTGTGCACCAGCGGTCAGTTCTTCAGGTGATGTAAATCAGGGTGGCTCCAATGGCTACATGCACTGAAGTTGACTGCTGTGGGTAGATCCCGTGAAGTGATTAACTTTTCTATGGTGGCAAGCATAAATCTTTTATAGCAGGGGGTTGATTTTTAAAGTGTTTGTTAGGAAAAAATGAACATACTCAGATGCCCATTGGAGCAGATCTGGAGGCTGGGTTCGAATAGCAGCTTTTGTAAACTGTTTCAGCAGTTCTGGCAGTTCTGGAGGGATGCATATTTGCTTATCTGTATACGGCATAATTACTGCACCTATGGGGAAAAATAACAGTTTTGTAACATACGCTGTCAATGTGTTTAAAAATAAGTGATAAAATTTTGTTAGAAAAGCAATCAATACTTCTGGAATGATCTGTCTTAATTAGTGAAATAGTTTGGTGGCTCAGTGTGCTGATTGTATGTCTGTTGACTCTATCAGCAGTTTCAGAACAAATAAAGCACTATCCTACACATATTATAAAACCAAACCAAAAAGGAATCGATTTCCATAGGTGAAAAGATCACTACAATCATCTTTTCTCACAATTTTTGCTAATTTTGTTTTATAGTCACATCTAAAGTAATGTACTATGTTATTTTACAGAAAATATTCTAGGTACTACAGACTATGTACATGGCACAATTTTGTAGATTTGGATCAGGCTGAGGATTGAACTACAATGGTTGCCATTAAAAAACTAACATTTGCTACATCATGGAATCTGATAAACTTCAGTATTAGACTCTCAGGTTATGTCTAGACTACAGGGTTTTGTCCACAGAAGTTTTGTTGACAGTATCTGTCGACAAAACTTCTGTCGACATAGAGCATCTAGACACATTCAGTTCTGTCGACAAAGCAAGCTGCTTTGTCGACAAAACCCTGTAGTCTAGACTCAACCCTACAGGCAATAACACCTTCTGTCGACAGAACTCTGTCGACAGAAGGTGTTATGCCTCGTAAAATGAGGTTTACCTGCGTCGACAAAACCGCTGAGTTCTGTCGACGTTATGTCGACAGAACTCAGCAGTAGTGTAGACGCAGGTATAGTTTTGTCGACAAAAGTCCACTTTTGTCGACAAAACTCAGTAGTCTAGACACACCCTCAATCCAGACTCTGAGTATGCTCCTTTTAACAGAAAAATATGAAAATGTCTGCTTCAAAGGTCGTATTCATGAAATCAGGAAACAGTGTTGTCTTAGCAACTGGCTCTAAAGCTGAAACTCTCTGCTTCAGGTGAAAATGAACCTGAGTCCCATGCCTTCAGAATGAAATTCAAGATGAACTTGCATTTAATTTAAGACAGTCACAGCACTCTGAGTATGCTCCTTTTAACAGAAAAATATGAAAATGTCTGCTTCAAAGGTCGTATTCATGAAATCAGGAAACAGTGTTGTCTTAGCAACTGGCTCTAAAGCTGAAACTCTCTGCTTCAGGTGAAAATGAACCTGAGTCCCATGCCTTCAGAATGAAATTCAAGATGAACTTGCATTTAATTTAAGACAGTCACAGCATCCACAATGAATGAGATGATAGAAAGGGGAAGAGGGGAAACACAGAAGCCACAACAGTGCAAAGAAGGAGGAGAAATCTACTTCCGCATGAGGACTGCTGTCTTCCAGTAGTCCATATCTGGGTAGCAGTCAGGTTTATTAGTGAAGCATGACCTATAGGAATTTGGCAAACTAGCCAGATACCCTGATGTGGTATTGACTCTTTATTGGTGACTGCTGAGGATCTGTGGAATTTGACAATACAGCTCCAATATGCTCCTTTGACAATCCCAGCCAAGAAACTAAGGCCTAATCGACACTACAGGTCGAAGTAAGATACACAACTCCAGTTACGTAAATTACATAATTTACGCAGCTGGAGTTGACATATCTTGCATTGTGTTTCCATGCCGTCCACACAGTGAGAGGCTGACAGGAGCAGACACTCCCGTCAGCTTCCCTTACTCCCCCTGAGGAGAGGAGTACTGGCACCAGATTGATCATGGCAGCATTAATCTTCCATGTACTGTAGACGTGCCCTAAGACTATAACGCCAGAAGAGTTGGGGGAGATCCAGGATCTGGAGGTTAAAAGGGAATAGTCAGGGTAAGTGACTTAATTAACTTTTATTACTAAGGTAGCATTTAGCACTAAGAAGAGTAGGAGAAGCAGTAAAGGGCTGAGGAAAAAAAAAAAAGAAAGTACTCTGGATAACCTAGGTTGCATTGCATGACTAGAAAATCTTCAGAGGAATTGGCAGAGCTGTGATATTTATTATGAGAGCATATCAAGACTAGAATAAGAGAGATTGTATTTTTATGTGACCTAAAAGTCTCAGAGAAGGAGCAGTGTTAGTCTGCAATTGAAAATTTTAAAAAACAAAGAATGGTCCTGCAGCACCTTAGAGACTAACAAAAAATGTAGCTAGTATCATGAACTTTCATAGGCACAACCCACTTCTTCAGATGAAAAATAAAGATGAAATCTGAAGAAGTGGGTTGTGCCTATGAAAGCTTTTTTTTATGTGAACTGTTTGAAAGAATGGCAGGCTCTGTGCAACAGATTCCATTTTCAGATTGCAGCTTTGGATATTTACATTCCAACCCTTGTTTAAAGAGAGAACTGGGTGAAATGTCAAGAAGCAAGAAAAAGGAGGAAGGGAAAAGAAGAGGGTGGTCATGGACAGGTGGGGAAGATGCCACTGGGAAGGTGAGCTCCCTAGACTGTGACCTGGCCATACTCCACCCTTACTCCACCCCAGATCCCACCCACACTCTGGTCAGGTTCCACTCCCTCCCCACTGTCTCCCTCCTCTCTTCCATCTCTCTTCCTGCTCATCCCCTTCCATCCAAATATTAGACCCCAAATATAGCAAAAGACATTGTAAAAAACAACCACTTTTACAATTTCTTTCTAAAGAAAATGGAGCATATCTTCCACTGCATGTCAGATTGTGAAGACTGGACATGCAAAAGATACCCAATTAAAAGCACTAAATTTAGGAATACAAAAATGTGAGACAGTTTTTTGATATACCCTGAAGTTTGTCAGAAATCTGTTTGCAAAAGCTTTGTAGTATGGGCAAGTCAATTGTCCTGGAATACCACATTAAATATTATGGAATTCATGATGCAACTCTTCCAATTTACATTTTCTTAAACAGTATTTCAAAGCTGAGTTTATTTTTTAAATACACTCTTAGTCCATAAGAACATAAGAATGGCCATACTCAGTCAGATCAGTGATCCAGTAAGGCCAACATCCTGTCTTTTGACAGTGGCTGGTGCCACATGCTTCAGAAGGAATGAAGAGGAGAAGTTATCGTATGATCCATCTCTTGTTTTCCCATCTCAACCCTGGCAGTCAGATGTCTGGGATGCCCAGAGCATGGCGTTGTATCCCTGAGCATGTTAACTAATAGCTATTGATGGACCTATCATCCCTGAACTTCTCTTTTTTTTTTTTTTTTTGAACTTCGTTATGCTTTTGGCCTTTATAGCATCCCCTGGCAATGAGTGTCATACATTGACTGTGCTGTGTGAAGAAGTACTTCCTTTTGATAGTTTTAAACTTATTGACTATTAATTTCATTGGGTGATCCTCGTCTTCTGTTATGTGAAAGAATAAATAACAATTTCCTAGTCACATTCTCCATACCATTAATGATTTTATAGACTTCATTTAGTAGGAATGAAAAGAACAGAGTAATTATCCCCCCCTTAGTCATCTCTTTTCTAAATGTAACAGTGCCACTCTCTCTTTGTCTCTTACTGTATGGAATTCTATATGCTAAGGCTATGTCTAGACTGGCATGATTTTCCACAAATGCTTTTAACGGAAAAGTTTTTCCGTTAAAAGCATTTGCGGAAAAGAGCGTCTAGATTGGCACAGACGCTTTTCCGCAAAAGCACTTTTTGCAGAAAAGCATCCGTGCCAATCTAGACACGGTTATGCACAAGAAAGCCCCGATCGCCATTTTCGCCATCTGGCTTTTTTGCGCAAAACAGTTTTTAGCTGTCTACACTGGCCCTCTTGTGCAAAAACATTTCTAGAAAAGGGCTTTTGCCCGAATGGGAACGTCAAAGCATTTGCGCAAGAAGCACTGATTTCGGACAGTAGAACGTCAGTGCTTTTGTGCAAAATCAAGCGGCCAGTGTAGACAGCTGGCAATTTTTTCGCAAAAGCGATTGCTTTTGTGCAAAAACTTGCCAGTCTAGACGCAGCCTAAGGGTACATCTAGACTGCATGTTTTTTTTTCAGGATACCAAAGGTATCCTGAAAAAACTCCGCTGCATCCAAGGAACGCATTTCCTCTTCTGCTTATTTTTTTTGGCGGAAGAACAGATGCGCTCTTTCAGAAGCCCTGTCTTCCTCATTCCATGAGGAAGAAGGGATCTTCCGAAAGAGGAGGTTTTTCCTAAATTTGGTCCAGTGTAGATGGGCCAAATTTAGGAAAAGCCTCTTCTGACAAATGTACAGAAGAATCTCGATTTTTCCAAGCTTCGTTTAACCCACATTACGTTTTATCCAACATGCTGCCCATCATGTCACGTCTCCAGGGATGCTTCACACCACAGTGGCCATGCTTTCCCTTTCCCTTTTCCACAGCGGGTGGGAGCTCTGGTTGGCAGGTCTGCAGCGCCCTCTTGTGGCTGAAGAATCCGCTGTTGGAAAAGTCGCTTTTTTCTTGTTTCTGGGGAAAGTGGCAAACGCCTTGCCCTGTGTCGTGGCTCAGGCAATCCACACGCAGCTCTGGAAAATCATCGCTGGGGGATGCGGAGTGGTGCAGGGCGAGGGCTGTGCCCCTGCCACAAGATAGAGCCCCGGATCTTACTCCCGTTTGGGGAGAAATACAAGGGCTGGTCAAGGCGGCAGATTCAGAAGGTTTAGAACTGGACCCCACAATGTATTACAAAGGGTGAATTTAAAAGACTTATTCATATTATCCAACATTTCCACTATCCGACCATCCTTCAGTCCTGTTTACGTCAGATAATTGGGACTACTGTATTGGAAAAAGGTACGCAAATTGCAGAGCACAATTTGCGTACCTTTTTCCGAAAAATCATCGTAGTGTAGACATAGCCTTAGTCATGTTTGTTGCCTTTCTTTGAGTCTTTTCCAATTCTGATATGTCTTTTTTGAGGTAGGTGGTGACTAGAACTATACGCAATATTCATGTTTGGTGTACCATGGATTTATATAGTGGCATTATGATATTTTCTGATTTATTATTTAGTCTTTTCCTTTCTCAAGGTTCCTAATATTCTATTAGTTTTTTGAGTGCTGCTGCATATTGAGTGGATGTTTTCAGAGAAATAACCACAATGACTTCATGATCTCTTTCTTAAGTGGTAACAGCTAATTAGGCCACGTCATTTCATCTGTATAATTGGGATTACTTTGTGTGCATTACCTTGTGTTTAATACAATGAATTTCAACTGCCCTTTTGTTATCAATGCTGAATCCTTTTTTTATGTATTTATGGAGAGCTCAGTCTATATGGATGCCAATCTTGGTCTTTGCTTAACTGCCCATTCTTGTTTTGATCTTAGACCCACCCCTTCTGTTCCTGTTTTGTTGTCCTATGCAATGAGTTGTCTTCTAAGCTTTGTGACACTGTTCCTCCAATAAGGAGGCAGTTTTTCCCTATGTGGGATTAGGCCTATCTTCCCAGGATTCAACTAAACTGGTTCTCTGTCTGATGACCCCTCTGGATCTTTCATTTTGAGCCTGTGCCCTATACCCTCATTCTTGTTAAATATTTGCTATCCCTCGTGATTAGTTAATTCCTAGCCCTGGGGCTCCTCCCCCATTTGAAAAACCATTTTGTTCTGGTGGGCTCCACCTACCCATTCAAGATTTCAAATAAACGAATTCTGTGCTCAGAGTCTCCCTCTGCATTCCTCTTTTTGAAACTGTGATCTATGCATTCTTCCCTGTTTTTTCATTTTTTGCCCTCCGTAACTACATAATTTCTGGGTTCTGTGGCCCCTCCTTCATTTGAAGGGGCAGGCCTTACATAGGGTGGGTTCTTTCATCTACACTTCATTTGAATGGACATTATTAGGGATATTAGGCTCAAAATGTTGCATTTTTTAATTTTTTCTAAAAGTTCCACAAATCCTGAAATATAATTGTCTTCACATTTTGTGGAATATCAGTAAAAGTAGTTGTTTGCTTTAAACATTGCCTTTAGTATTTGGAACCTCAACATTATACCACTGAGCCCCTGCATGAGAACCAGAGAATTTAATTGAAACAGACTATAAAAAATCTTTAAAATTACAAATCTACTTCTGTTGTTCAGGCTGAGTGAAAGCAAAAAAATAATAGAAGAGCACCACTGGTCAAAGTTAAATTGAAACAATTCCTTCAGTTATGATAAATTACAATGTGATTAGTAACAGAAGAAGGGAACTTTAAAAGTGTCCCCTCCCAATCCATTAAAACATAACCACTTCTTGTATTACATCCCTATACCTCTATAATTTGGCATCCACTATATAGCATGACAGTCTAATTGGGAGAGCAAGAACGAAGGCCAACAAGATGATTTGAGCTTGCCAAAGAACTGGGAGCAAGCTGGAAAAGTCAGATGTTAAAATGGCCTCTTAAAGAAAGTCCTCTGCTTTCATGGCAGTTATGTTAGTTTCCACAACTGCTTCCCAGAGGTTTCCATGACAATATTGCAAACAAGTCATTTGATGTCTTCAGCCTTATTCTTTGAAAACTGCCCATTATTATCTAACAGTTTTACCCAGACACTCTGGCAGTTTTTCTCCTTTTGGTGACACTCTTCTCCTTCTCCTTTAACAATTAGCCACTTTCTTTTGATAAATTTTCCCCAAACTGTTTAGGGGTAACTCCCCATCACTTGGCAATTGCCTTTGACATATTGACAATAAACCCGAGCTGTTAATAGATGCTCCACCAAACTGTTACCCTATCTTTTAACAACTGCCCCCATCCATCACCCTAACACTTGACACTTTTCTTCACATTCCTATTCCTTGATAGCATCCTCACAATTGCCTCCTTCTTTTGTTAATTGCCCCACCTCAGCTACTCTGTACCCTGTCATTGTTCCCCACCCTCATGACAATTCCCCTCACTCCCTGCATTTCCCATTTTTTACCATTACCGGAGGCTGAGGAATCTCAGCCTCTCTGTGGAGCTCCGCCAGTCCCTGGTTTGAGGAGAGTCAAACCTGGCTCTGTTTGACTGAATGCAGCTGACATTCAAGATGGGGGCTGCAGTGACTCAGGACTAGGCCTTTTGTTTCTCTGAATCGCTGAGTGTCCTAGCAACCAATGCCCACCTCACAAAGGCTCTGACTCTGTCAGCTACCATTGCTGCCAGGAGAAGGTGGGGGGCTTGAAATGGTCATAGCAGAGGGGAGTTACTTACCATAGATCTGGAATTCACTAGGGAAGGGAATGCTTGAAACCTTGCATTTCCATATGTTTTCTTGAGTAGGCAATTAAGGTAGACTAATCCTCTTTGTTTTTTTGAGTGTCTGTAACTTGAAATCTGTGTGGGGTAGTCAGGAAGCAGACAGGTATGTGAAGAAGAGGCCATATTCCCAAGGGAAGGTACATGGCAGGAACAGGTGCAGCAAGAGAGGACCAAACTTAGCAACTGGGGGGGGGGGGGGGGGGAGGGGCAAGTGCAATGTGAGCAATCTGCAAGGAATACTGTAATAGTATAAAATGGCAGATTACAGCTGCCTTTATCTAGGGAGGTGTGATCCATAGGGATAGTGACTCCCAGTATTGTCTGAGAGACAAGGGATCTCAGAACAGCCTTTGCACATGACGGTTCCCAGCATGCAGTGTAGTATGGGGGGAGTAACTAAGGTCCCAGCTCCTGAAGTCACATGAGATCAGAATCTCAGCTTCCATTTTTTTATTTTTCATCAGATTATTTTTTTAACATTCGTGGATGCAAAGAAAATGTTGAAAATATGATTTAAGGGTGAATGTTGTCCATCTGAATCTGCAGTATAAAACATAGCTGTAAGAGACATGAACTTGTTCATTCATTGTTACCGAAACCTACTGTCACTCCAAGGAACAACAGTATCATAGTAGGGATCCACAGGTGCATCATGTCCAGGGCCTTAAATTGCCTTAATTTGTCTCTGATGCTCTTCCCAATTTTTAGCCCAAAGGTTACCAAGCAACACTGCCATAAGTATTTCACATGTTGGACAGCATATCTCCTTTGAAAATAGTTTTGGATGCTTCAGACAATAACTTCCAAATGAAAGAAGCCTGTAAGTATGAAAGCAAAAGACCGCAAGCAAAAGTGCTGCTGACCGTAATGACACTGTATTGTTATGAGAAGGGGACCAGTTTGGTAATGGGTGCATGCAGAAATTATGTCTAATACCAAGATGAAATATTGTTTTTCTTGTTAAGCAGTGTGATGGTGTTGGAATGTTATCATTTCAGTAACCATTCTTTATAGTGGGGGGGAGGGTCCGTGCCATATTAAGTGATAAGAAGGGTGTTTTCTTGTATCTTGCAGTGACGTTTATCCAAAAGAATGCCCTGGAATACTGCCAGAGAAAGCTGGCAGTGCTTCTTATTATGCCTTTTATACAACAATGGAAACCTGAATGTTTATTTTATTAACCAATTTCACTGACACTATTCCCAATGCTATTTCCTTGAGCTGGAGAGAATACACGGGACATAATACGTTGCATATAAGAGTTAAATGACGTAAGTTCAATGCTCCTCTCCCAAATAGATTCTCCTGTTTCACAAACATAAGGTAGTCATATGAGGCCAATATCACATCTAGCCAGAATACTTTATGGATTTGTGTTAAACTAGCTGAATAATTGCAGAGGGATTTCTTGGTGGGTCTTGCATTCTCAGATACAGGATACTGCAAATTACTAAGGGTACGTCTACACTACCCCGCTAGTTCGAACTAGCGGGGTAATGTAGGCATACCGCAATTGCAAATGAAGCCCGGGATTTGAATTTCCCGGGCTTCATTTGCATAAGCGGGGCACCGCCATTTTTAAATCCCCGCTCGTTCGAACCCCGTGCCGCGCGGCTACACGCGGCATGAACTAGGTAGTTCGAACTAGGCTTCGTGCCGCGTGTAGCCGTGCGGCACGGGGTTCGAACGAGCGGGGATTTAAAAATGGCGGCGCCCTGCTTATGCAAATGAAGCCCGGGAAATTCAAATCCCGGGCTTCATTTGCAATTAGGGTATGTCTACACTACCCCGCTAGTTCGAACTAGCGGGGTAGTGTAGACATACCCTAAGGAGTTCAAGTGGCAACTGGGATTAACATGTACCAATGAGATTTGTTGCTCACTGATTCACACTAGATCCTTGAAATAATATGAGTTTCTTTTTTTTTCCAGTGGAAAAATACATAGTTCATGATCCTGCTGTCAGTGTGGAAATTGGTCCTTGAATGTGATGAGAATAGTTTTCCTCAATTACTAAGGGCCAGATTGTCATGTATCCTGGAGAAATTTAAGAGAGTAACCCTAGAGAAAGGCAAATTCTGCATGTTTGCCACTCGCTGAATTTTTTCTGGATTTTCTTTTCTCCTCCCACCTTTCGCAGAGAAAACAGCAAGTCCAGCCTCTAAATCTTATACATGTAATGGGGAAGTATTGGAGATTCCTGTCTATCCATGAGTGAAGAAGGTAGTGAGTCTCTGACTTCTCACAGCATGGTTCAAATGGAGGGGCCTGAAAAGCTCTGAATAAAAGAAAATATAGACTGGGCTATTTTATCTTTTGTGTATACTTCTAATGGGACATTGGAAATGTTTTACAGTTCCTTTGCCATCCTCTTCTTGCCCGTTCTCTTCTATCATGAGGACAACACATAAGCCTAAGTCTCCACTCATTAACTGCTGACACTTGGCCTCCTTTTTAACTGTGTGCATGTGTGAAAAAGTGTGCAAGAAAAGAAAGAAAGTGAAATAATGTGAACACCAACAGGGGCTCACCACTCAGTGAGTTCTCTATCTAGAGGAGCAGGCAGCAATACTTGATAGTGGATGTCCAGTTGGACAGGTTTTTTTCTTCATGTGCAAGAAAGAAAGCAGATGGAAGATCTGTCCCCCTTTTAATTTCGCATCTCTTCCAGGTGAAAACGTAGATCCAATACTGGCATCTTCACTTCTAACCAGGGTTTGGGGGAACAGAATGGTAGTGAGAGTTACTTCTCCCCTCCTGGCTCTCCCCATAATGAGCTGTAGTGCTGCTGGAACAATTTTTATATTGGGGGGTGCTGAAGGTGGAAACCACGTGTATGGGTTGTTATTACTTCAAAGCAGGGGGTGTGCTAGCACCTCTAATACCAGCACCTATGATGAGCTGTGTGGGTGGGAAGTGCGTTCAGTACATGAGTGGCATCTATTCTCTTAATATGTTCAGTGCTCAGGCTATTTCAGTAAGTTCAGAGGGCTACAATTGCTGATTTATGGTAAAATTTTTTATCCTATTCTACTTTCTTTATCATTCCCTGAAGGTGCAAAGGGAGCAGAATCCCCTCTTGGAGATTCCTCAGCAGGCAAAGTGTTGAACTTGTGCCTACCTGTAAAGCACCTATATTTTCCTCCCATCAACCTCTGCCACAAGGGTATGTTGGGGGAGAGCCAGGGAATGAATGGGAGAATACTCTGGCTGTCCCAAGCTGACAAGTGGTTCGTTAGGGACCACAGTTAGCTGGTGCAAGTTAAGCTGTTTTGACACATGTGTTGGAACAAAACCCCACATAAATGGTTATTAGTTCTCAGCTTCTTCTCCCACCTCCCCTCCCGGGATGCCTAGGAGGGAGGAGGATAGCCTTCTATTGCTAGGTCAGTAAGCCCCATGCCCAGCTCTCCTGAGGTATGTCTACACCACATTTTGGACAGAGGGTGAGTGAGCTTCCCGCCCCAGCTCAACAGAGTTCATACTAGCACTCTTAAAATAGCGGTTTAGACAGAGCGCTGACATTGTGTCTCAAACTCTGAAGTCTGGGGAATAGGATGGGCTCCAACACCTGACCTCTAACCTGAGCTAACTTCAAAGCCCTCTCGATACAGCTATTTTTAGAGATCCTAAGCCCTGTTAGCCCAAGTATGTTAATCCAGGCTGAGAGGCTGCTCCCCTGCAGTCTAAAAGACTAAGACTGTCACTTACAGCCCAGCAAAAGAACAGGTAGTAGAGCAGGGGTGGGGCCACCCCAGAAGGGGAGGGACCTCTGGAGGAAGGGGCGGGGCCAGGACACTTTCATGCTCCTGACTGGCCTGAGGGTGGAAGAGCACATGAAGTATTTGCACCCACCACTTCTCGCCTAGAGAGAACTACCAGCTGTGCTGAACAAAAAGCCACAGTCCCCAGGGCATCAGGGCACTACACAGTTCCACACACAGTGCACAAGAACAGATGCTTTTCCTTGGCTGGCTATGGGAGATGTGATGTCTTGACAAGGGATCAGAAAGTAGAAATTATAAGGAAATCCCAGAGAATGGATTCAATAGTTTCCTTGCTTTGAACTTCTCAACAGAGGCCAAACAAAACCTTGAGAATTGATCAGTAATTGTAGTATTGCCAACCCCAAAAGGTGGGGGTGATAACGTGGGTTTCAACCCGTGAAAACATACACCCAAATAAATGAGTTGGTCTTTAAGATACCACAAGACTCCTCAGAAACAAACATGATTGCCTCTCTGAAACTTGTCACCATGCAAGGTTTAAAAACAATAGAATCCTTTGAATTTTAGTCGATCTTTTGATGGTCGATCGCTCCTTCCCTGACTCCAGTGGAAGTGATCATTATGAACTCTGTGACACGAGTGAATTGGGATCAAATTATAAAGATTTGCATAAAATTCTGCTGAATGGAGCTGAGTTTCCAGCTTCTCCCCTTAAGTTCATACCGCTACCTTGATACTGAACCCACCACATTAGCTCTAGTCCCACATTTGTCCCTTGCCCCTCAATGCATCTCTGCCCTTCTGGCAGCTTCAAGGGTTCTTCACTTTCTCCTTTCTTTGCCCAGGAATGGAAGTGGAGAGCACATTGACTCTTTTTCATAGGCAGGGAAGGAGGGAATTGCTAGGCCTTTTCTGCTCCTTCCCCCACTCAAACCCTTCTTGTGGCTTCAAAAGAAGAGAGGTGAGAGCTCCACTTGCTCTCTCTCTCTGATGAGCTGCTGTTCCCCAGGATGTCAGGAAGGCGGGGAAAAAAAGTCAGACAGAGTCCCCAGGAGTCTCCTGCAGAGTGAAATTTTCACAAGAGATGCAACTTCTGCATTACTGCAAGACTGGATCCAGTAGGGGCCAAAATCATGAGTGTTTGCCACTCTGCTCTACACAGAAAAGGATCTTTTGGTTGAGAGGCAAAGGACATATGAAAGAGGTTCCCATACTGTTGAGCATCTCCCTAGAGGGGCCGAGAGGACTGTTTCAGGAGAAAATAAAGGAATGAGTGGATGTCCTTGGGGCAGGGAGGGACCCCTACCCAGCTATGCTTCTGGTTCCATGCCTGGGGCCTGGCTTCGAGTCCTGCATGTCAGGCTCTGGCTTTGCCCTGTCTCTGCTACCTTACCCTTGTCCACATCCCCTCTCCTGGAGCTGCAGCCCTGCTCCTGGCACCAGCTCCAGGGTAAAGGGACAGTCAGGAGTAAGAGGGGCATGAAGTAAAAAGATTTGGGACCGCTGGCACATGGGGTCATGGGCTATTGCACTCGCAAGAAAGTCCCCAATAGTCCTCCGGCACTGGCATGAGGTTTGCAGGTCTCTCTGTAGTTCCACACCTGGAGAGCACAGAGGAAACCGGGAACTTGCTGAAGCAGTCACAAGCCAGTCCTATGGACCAGGCTGACACAAGTCTAGCACAAGGTGCGGCAAGTCCTGTTCAGTCAGTGACCTATGTGAAGTGATTGGGGGCACTTGGAAGAATCACAGTTGTGTGACCACAATAAGTGGGGTGTGATGTGCAGACCTCAGTTGTGCTCTGAGTGCCACAGGCAGGGATCCCCTAGTAAGCTCAGCCGGACGTGAGCAGGATGGGGCTAGGCAACGGCTAAGTCTAGCACAAGGTGCGGCAAGTCCTGTTCAGTCAGTGACCTATGTGAAGTGATTGGGGGCACTTGGAAGAATCACAGTTGTGTGACCACAATAAGTGGGGTGTGATGTGCAGACCTCAGTTGTGCTCTGAGTGCCACAGGCAGGGATCCCCTAGTAAGCTCAGCCGGACGTGAGCAGGATGGGGCTAGGCAACGGCTCCACTGAGCAGCCATAGGCCAGCAGAGGGCGGAGGAGAGGTTAGGGCGCCAGGAGGGGAAGGTTCCGTGGCAGTTAGAAAGGCAGTTGGGAGGGGGGAGGGTCACTGAGTGGAAGGGTCTGGGCTCCTGCGAGAAGCGAGGTGTTGAAGGCAGCCGGGGGAGGGGAGTTCCAATTGGGGACCCTCCTATGCCGTGGCCCACAGAGCCGTAGCCACTGAGGTCCCAACAGCGCTTGTCCGAGCCGTGGTGCAGCTGGCGTGGGCCCATGGGCTGCGCAGGGCAGGGGCCAGTTCCCCCGCATGACCGAGACTCCATGACAGACTGAACATTGCAACAGGTTCTGCACGACCCACTGTGCACAGGCACAGACAGTAGCAATGGGCCTACCTGGGAACAAGGAGCCATTGCTGATGCGTTTATTCCCTGGCTTCTATCCGCCTTCCTGTCCCAAGGCCTCTCATACAATTTGAAATTATTTATTATGTGCGTTGTGGGAACTCTCAGAGAGCTTCTCCTGCACCCTCTCCCCTGGTTCTTGTCATGTAGACAGAGAGCAGAGCAGAAGTCTGAAGTGCAGACAATGCCATCTTCATGGGGGTTAGTTTTTAAGCAAACATATTCTGAAGCCCTTCAGACCAGTCAGGGTTATTTCTGTGTGCCGATAGAGTCTGCTCCCCAGTTTTCCCTTCTCAGCACTGACACTGCAGAGCCTTTATTCCATGTCCACCATCCCAGCTCTGACACTGCAGAGCCTTTACTTCATGTCCCGCTTCCCAAATCTGATGCCACAGAGTGTTGCCTGTGCCCCAGTTTCCCTTTCTCCTGTTCCCAATTCCCCCCTCCTCTCCTCTTTCTTAGCAGGTCCAAATAGACCTGTAGTGCACACTTCTAGACACACCCTTTACAATGTTTTGGCCTTCCCCCCGAGGCCTGTGAGAGTGAGAGAAAATGACCCCTCGGTCTCACAGGCCTTGGGGAGAAGGCCAATCCTTGTCTACAGACAATCCCCTAACCTCAAACAAATTATTCCCAGTAACCATGCAACACATCTCCATCATAATCAACCAGGAACCCACCTCTACAGTCAGGCCCAGTGCCAACTCTGCCCGTACATCTACACACGCGATTTCATCACTGGACCCAAATATATCAGCCACTACATCAGGGGTTCATTTAACTGCACATCCACTAAAGATTTATGCCATCAATTGCTAGCAATGCTCCCACTGCCATGTATATTGGCCAAACTGGTAAGTCTCTATGGGAAAGAATTAATGGATACAAATCAGATATCCGAAAAAGCAACACACACAAACTTTAACCTGCCTGGGCACTCATTAATGGATCTCAAAGTCACCTTGTTGTTGCAGGCCAATTCCTCAAGCCAAATACACAGGGAAGAGTTGGAATTTATCTTCATTTACAGGTTTCATTCCTATCAGAGATGAATGAATGAAGATATTGGCTGGTTCCACACTACCTTCCACATCCTAATGACTTAACCAACCAACCTAACAATGGGTACTTACAGAGGTGCAAATTGTTCTTATCAGCTTCTTGTAACTTGAACAATCTAATTCATTATATTTTTATCTTTTTTTTTCTTTTCCTTCCTCCTTTGCCCCGCCTCCCTCCCCCTGCCTTCCTTTATTTATTCTTGGAGCTGGACTTTTAATACTTCAGTCATCTGAAGAAGTGAGTTGTGCCCACGAAAGCTCATGATACCATCTACATGTTTTGTTAGTCTTTAAGGTGCTGCTAAACTATTCATTGTTTTTTAAGTTTTTTGAAATGAGAGGGTCATGCTCAGCTGAAAGAACCTTATTAAGTCAGGGGCTTGATTGCCAAACCCCTGTGAAAGTAAGGCTTTGTCTACACTAAACAGTTTTTAGTGACAAGGCTGTGTCAATATAGCAGTGTTGCTAAAAGTCAGGCAATACAAACACTTTTTTGTGGGATTTTTGTCAACAAAAAGTTTCCACGCTCTACAAATGGCATTTGCTTTGTTAGCAGGAGGGCACTCCTGTCAATAAAACACTGTTTACTTTTCTTCAGAGGGGTACCGAGGTAGTCAGTAACTGGAAAAACTTAAAAACCAACAAATAGTCTTGCAGCACCTTAAAGACTAACAAAACATGTAGATGGTATCATGAACTTTGGTGGGCACAACCCAATTCTTCAGATGAATGGAGTTCTTAAAGGTCCAGTTTGGAAATAAATAAGTGATATGGGGGGGTAGGGAGAAGGAAAAAAAAGGAAAGAAATATTTATTTAGAGTGCCCATGCTACATGAAGCTGATAGAGAAGTTGCAAATTGTTCTTAAGCACCCATTGTTTGGTTTTTTATGTCATTAGGATGTGGAATGTAGTGGTCCATCCAGCCAATGTTTTTATTCATACTATATACATTGTCACTCAATTACCAGGGTAGACAAAGCCTTAGGGACAGGTGTCCCAGGTTGGAGGTGTGGACTCTCCCTAATGAGGGCCATTCTTAAAATTTTTGGTGCCCTATGTCAGCAGTTCCCAACCACCGGGCCTTGGCCCGCTGCCAGACTGTGGACCTCTGGCTGCTGGGGCACACCGCTCTCACCCCGGCTGTTAGGAAAGGCCTGTCCTGCCCTGCCTCTCAGCCAACCAGGGCCAGGCAGGGTCTCTTCCTAGCCAAGTAAGATGGCTTCCCTGTGTGTGGAAGGGCCACACAGAGCCGCCCCCTGCGGCCCTCCCACCACACAGGGAAGTCCCTGCCCAGTGCTGGTTGGCTGAGAGGTGGGGCTCCAAGAAGGAGATCTCCTAGGCCAGTGGTTCTCAAACTTTTTGGGTTCTGGAGCCCTTTACATGCATAAAAATTTATGCGGAGCCCCAGCGGTCCACTGCTTATATGTGTTGTACTTATGCAGAGCCCCAGTGGTCCATTGATTGTGTGTGTTGTACCTATCGATGTTTCCAGTTTGTCAACCTCACAGAACCCCTGGAGATGTCTCACAGAGCCCTGGGGCTCTGCAGAGCACAGTTTGAGAAACACTGTCCTAGGCTATGTCTATACTGCGCCCATTTGGCACAAGAAATATTCAAATAAGGCAAAGTGTGGAATATCGCTGCACCTCATTTGCATATATAACAAGGCTCCGTTTTTGCGCAAGAGGCTTTTGCACAAAAAGGAGCCATCTGCACGGCTCCTTTTTGTGCAAAAAACCCATCTTGTGGAAGAGCCATTCTTCCACATTTTTTTCAGGAAAAACAGCTCTTGCGCAAGAGGGGTTTTTTGCACAAAAAGGAGCCGTGCAGATGGCTCCTTTTTGTGCAAAAGCCTCTTGCACAAAAATGGAGCCTCATTAATTATGCAAATGAGGCACAGCAATATTCCATGCTTTGCCTCATTTGCATATTTCTTGTGCCAAACAGGCGCAGTATAAACATAACCTAGGAGATCCCCTTCTTGGAGCCATGGCGAGATGCTGAATCTCTTCAGTGTCTGGGGAGAGGAGGTAGTCCAGTCGCAGCTGCACTCCAGATGTAGGAATTATGATACCTCCGGGTAGATTTCAAGATGCATGATTGAAAGGGGCCACAGCTGGGATGCACTGCAGTGCAGGGTCAAAGTAAAGAAGCTGCAAGATGCCTATTTGCAGAGTTATTCCCACAGACCACGGAGGCAGAGTGTGCAACACAGGAGCTGTTGAAAGATGATGCCAAATGAGAGGTTTATGATTCACAGGATGAGGTTTAATAAGGAGAAATGCAAAGTGCTCCACTTAGGAAGGAACAATCAGTTCCATACATGCAAGATGGGAAGCGACTGTCTAGGAAGGAGCATGGCGGAAAGGGATCTAGGGGTCATAGTGGACCACAAGTTGAATATGAGTCAACAGTGTGATGCTGTTGCAAAAAAAGCAAATATGATGCTAGGTTGTATCAACAGGTGTGTTGTAAGCAAAACTCGTGAAGTCATCCTGCCGCTCTACTCTGCACTAGTTAGGCCTCAGCTAGAGTACTGTGTCCAGTTCTGGGCACCACATTTCAAGAAAGATGTGGAGAAATTGGAAAGGGTACAGAGAAGAGCAACAAGAATAATTAAAGGTTTAGAGAACATGACCTATGAAGCCAGGCTTCATGAACTGGGCTTGTTAAGTTTGGAAAAAAGAAGATTAAGGGGGGACATGATAGCGGTTTTCAAATATCTAAAAGGGTGTCACAAGGAGGAAGGAGAAAATTTGTTCCTCTTGGTTTCTGAGGACAGGACAAGGAGTAATGGGCTTAAAGTGCAGCAGGGGAGGTTTAGATTGGACATTAGGAAAAAATTCCTAACTGTCAGGGTGGTCAAATATTGGAATAAATTGCCAAGGGAGGTGGTGGAATCTCCCTCTCTGGAGATATTTAAGAACAGGTTAGATAGACATCTGTCAGGGATGGTGTAGACGGAGCTTGGTCCTGCCTTGAGGGCGGGGGGCTGGACTCGATGATCTCTTGAGGTCCCTTCCAGTCCTATGATTCTATGATTCTATGAGAGTGGAGGTGTAGTGGTTTCTGGGATGAGAAGCGATGCACCAGGGGGCATTAGCAGAAGTTCCAGGATGCCATGCATCTCCCCTCCACCTTCCCACAAACCTCTGTGGCAGAAAAGGAAAAGGTGCTCTCTGGGATAGCTTCCTAGAGTGCAATACTCTGAAAGCTTCTACAAGGGCCACAAGTGTGGTCATGCTACTACACTGGCAGCTGACAGTGTGGACACCAAACACTGCAGTGTTTTCACTGCTGGGCTTGGTAGGCAGCACTGTAACTTCCAGTGCTTTATATATGCCAGTGTAGACATGGCCTAAGATAGTGATTCTAAACCTTTTTGGACTCCTGTACTCCTTTCTAGAGTCTGATTTGTCTTGAGTAATCCAAGATTCACTTAACCTGAAAACTACTTGCTGACAAAATCATGTGTAATAATACAAAAGTGCACTATTGCTGAAAAATTGCTTACTTTCTCATTTTTACCACATAATTATAAAAGAAAATTGATTGGCAAACACCGTAC